ATAGGAATAATAAAAAAGCAAAGATCATGACACAATCACGACTGTTTTGAGATGACTTTTATAGACATGATGTACATATTCATATCTTGTATATGTACTGTGTATATTAACATTGGTCTCATCTCATTGATCATGTATTTTGTTCTCAGCATAATATTTATACATGTAGGATTGTCAATAAAATTAAGAGCCGAATGCTACTATGCTGCTGAAAAGATATCTATTTCAAACTGGGTAAAAGCAAAATTTTAAGAGACGATTGATTTTGAAGAAAAATAAATTAGATCTCTCAAATGACTTAGTACATAATTTACAAAGATGGTACGTGGAGGTTTTGACAATAATGCTATTTTTCCAAATAAACTTTCGCCTCCAAAAAATAAAGAATATTCCTTCCAATACATTTTTGTTTTTCAATGACAATAAATGAAGCACATATTTAAACAATAACACAATATGTTTTCTTTCAAGAGATATCAATATGACAATAACAGTTCTGGTGATAAGTGATGACAGAACGACCAAAGTGATAGAAGGGAATATACACTAAAAACATCAAGTACTAGGTAAGATGCGATACAAATATTATGTAGCTTAGCAAAATTTATCATCTTTGCAATACAGACAATATCCAAGCATTTTGAATTCAAGTATTATGTTAATGTAAGTAATTACAGTGAGTTCAACATTTAAATAATAGTTGCATTTTTTCACGTTAATATGATATGATAATTTTTCTTGTAATAATATCTTAATAATTATAATTATATATTCTTTCATCTAAATAACGGATTGAGGATTACGTGCAACGCACGTACGTAAAAATTAGTTATCTATAAATAGGACAACTTTGGAGAATTGTTCTATGCTCATTGGTATAAGTCTTTAAAAGACTTTAGCACATAAGAGTAATTTTTGAGAGAGCTTTCATCAAGAGAGAAGAGAGAAGAAAAAGTGTTTGTTTTGCTGTAGATTTTTGTTCCAACCATCTAACTTCAAATCATGTTTTTTGGTTCGTTAACCGTTAGATCGGGCTAAAATTTTGACTGAGTGTTTATTACATCCTGGTCTTTGATTTGAATGGCGAAGATCAGATTTGCGGCGTGTAGCGTCTGATTTCGATCCCCGAACAACAACTTCATTTTTTGTGACTTCTCCTCCTTCAATTGATTTGTTGTTGCTCTTGTTACTATTGTTGCTCCGTATTTGGCATTTGTTGTTTAGTCAATTTGGAGAACTTTTGCAGCCCTCTTATTGTTATAGTGGAGTTTTTTGGATCCTTGTGATCCCGTGGTTTTTACATTCAGTTTGAAGGGTTTTCCACGTTAAATTTGGTATTCTTTATGTTTTTTATTTTAAGGTTTGTCTCTTCCTCGATATAACACTATAAACTCCATTTTATATGTTTAAGTATATATTAAAAAGGTGACTTATTCCTAAAAGGATTTCTCGAAACAACCCTCCGGGTTCCGGCCCAGGAGTCAAGAGGCAAATCTTGTGTCACTCGGTCCTATGAAACCAGCTCAGATCTAGATCCTCCATAGCCTATCCAGCATGTGAAATGGCTGGCGGAGCATCACGATTTTATTAATGAAACTATTTTCCTTATCTTCTATTCCCACAACAACTTCTCTTGGCGCAAGAAGATTTTTTCTTTTAAATTTTAGTTTGAGAATTTATCACTTTTGAATTACATATTGACAACTTGATTAGTTGCTTGCTATCCTTTCGTTTTCAGGGGAACCATTCGGATAATTGAAAGGGTAGTTCATGAAAGTGTGGGCAAGTAAAGACTCCCAAATATTGGCAAAACATATATATGCATACAAAATTGATGATAAAAGTTTTGAGATTTAACATACGAGGTACTTGAGAGTAAATTTGACTCATTACACTAAGCCTTTAATTAGTGGAATCTAGACAACGAGCTTCTCTACCTATCGGCCACAGAAGACAAATTACGGTAATGCAATGTAATGATTATGATTGGCCCTAGATAACTGATAAGAGTCACCAAATTCTTCGTAGGTCACTATAATATATTATTACTCATATAAGATGCTAACAAATTGCGAACACATATTACTAGTTTGTATCCCTGGGTCTATTTAATTTGTTACAAAAGGAGAACATCACCTTTTTACAACATTAACATATGTCATCTTGCTGACAATATTGAAAAAGGGGACGAAAAATGTCTGTTTACCTTTTCAATATTTTCGAAATGTACTGCCTCTATTTATTCATTAAGAAAAAGATTTCTACATCTCACTGAGGCTAAGTGAACAAATAGCCCTCTCGTTGTTCAGGGACCATCCATCCTTTGCTTCCCTTTTGCTCAATCCGGTGAGATCAGATGAATTTTTAGAACGAAATAAAATCATAAGAAGAGAACACTACTAGCTGAAAATCGGTTGACGTCTCATAAATTTGTGTAGGGTTTACTTCCTCGTTTAACCGGCACTCTAGGAAGTAATCAGTGTTTTAAAAGGCGTTTTCGGGACAAGCTCTAGGGCGAGACGCACCAAAAATGCCCCAAGACGATAGTGTATGCTCATCAATTCAAGGCGTATGCTTGGGCATTTGAGGCGCGTTTTTGTAGTAAGACGTAAGCCCCAGAGACTTTTTCAAATTAAAACAAAAATTGTTGAATAAGTCCTTCGTATAATACCCAAATTCTCAAAAGTTTAAAAAAGAACTGAAATGTAACCTTTTCATTGATTGAAGCCCTAATTTATGGTCTTTTAATTCTCAAATTTTTATCTTGTCCCCTAGTCTGCTAATATCTCCCAAAAGCAACGAATATTCAATTTTTTTCACAAATACAAAGAGAATTTCATTCTCCTTCATAGCAGCAAGTTCAAATATCAAATTGCTGGTTGATCATCCTTTTTGTTCCTCCATGTAGAAAACTTTATTCTTTTCGACTCAAGTTACTTGTGCTTATAAGTAGCGTATAATATATTGTTTTGACTAGTTTTTATATGGGGATGAAGTGTATATATATATATATATATATATATATATATATATACATACATATAGTTTTCTTCAGTTTTTATACTATTTTACATGTTTATAAATATTTACTATAATTATATTATTTTATAAAATATTAAAAATTAAATAATCACGAGGCTTATGCCACATGCCTCGAGGTTTACACCTTGCTAAGGCATATATAAAACGTCTCGTCTTACCCCACGCCTTTTAAAACACGGGAAGTAATATCTAAAATTCTACTTAATTTAAACTTCTTTATCCTTGTTTTTGTACAATGTATCTAAAGTGTAAACTATGATCTCATCACACATGATTTCATTCCCAAGTTAAAAGTATTAATATTACGCAACTTCATTTACGTTTGGACGTATGTTTGTAACATTTTCTTTTGTGTCTTCTATTGGGGTGTAATGTGAGGGACTGATACTCTGATAGTTGGGATTCTGATATTGGTGAAGCCAAACGGACTATGTCAGATTATGTATATAAAATTAAACTTAAAAATATTCATATAATAACAAGATTGAGATGAGTCTGAGAATCTGAGTTGTGAATTAATTTAATATTTGGAAGATTAGGTGTGTCTTTGTACGGTGCCAAGAAAGAAAAGACAAACCCCAAGAGTTAAATTACCTGTCTGCTGACATCTTTCCTCTTAGAGCAGGTAGGGCACCTGCCATGCTCACTTCTTTATATTTAATTCTTTTCCACCTTCAATTTATTGTGCATTTAATTCTCCTATACATGAAATCAGTGCGCGATGACCTTCTTAACCTCGGTAGAAATAGCAAAATAGGAAGTCGCATATCATCCCAAAGTTAAAATTTAAAGTTTATGAATTATAAATTTGTATTATTGAATTTGTACTAAAATACTTAAGCAAAAACTATAGTCTTCTGAATGCGTGCGTGATATTACAACTCCGCCCCTACATAAAACTAATGCTAGTTAGAGTTTAATAGAAGATAATATTGAAGAATTTGGTCACTATAATGTCAAGAACAAATTCTGTTGCAAAATTAGACGTATAAGAATACTTATGCACGTTTATCTTATACTTTTTTAGTTTACGTATTGAAAAAAAAGTACCATATTTCTGTTAGCATTCATGAATACTACATGTTCACAAACAGGAGCTACAGCTAACCCCGTTGGACACAATGATTCTTTGCATTTGCTATGAATAAGAGAGATAATGTACTGATACAAACTAGCTAATTTGATAAGATTGTTAAGTTTCGTGCATATCTAGAGAGTGTAAAATATATTTCCAGAATCAAGTTATTTATAAGATAATTACATATATAAATTTTTATGGTAACTATGTACAATGCTATCATAAATTAAAATTTGTTGATAGCATAAAATTTATATTATCAAAGTATATAACTTAAATTTATCCGATAAATATTAAAGGAAGGGTTTAGAGGAATGTGTAAAACATTTATACTGACAGGCTAAGGTAAATTATGTGGTAAGTGCAAATTGATATATACATTATCATGTTATTTTTAAAGTAATTGTAAGTAAAATTTTATAATAAGTATTTTTTTGGAACCCAAGGATACCCGCAGTCGCTACAGCCTCTGCCACAGCTTCTGCCTTTCAGGTGAGCACTCTGTGCACACTGAGTAAACCTCCACTATGTAATAGCCTGCAAACCGCACAGGAAATGTAAACCGTACTAGGCAAGCCCTGTGCAACAGGCTCAGACCCAGAAAACATTGAGGAGGTAAGTATTACTAATTGGTAACTAGATAAAATAAAAATATTATCATAAATTATATTGATAGTATAAAACTTCATTAATACTCTGGATAAGATCCTTTTTAAGGAAACAAGGGTGGTTTAGTCCAAGCGGACATTAAATTTGACGACATAGATGTGTAACCAAGACACATGTGGCCACTGGCCGGTCAACTCCCTCTAGGACTCCACAAATATGATAATCTTGAATCGGTAATAAAATACAGCATATATATATCTGTCAAAATATTAAAACTAGAAAAGCTCAAAGTTCATTTCATACCAAACCACACAGCAAAGCATTAAAGACCTGCGCTTCCTGTTTAAAAAGAAGAGAAAGTTGAAAGAAACAACAAAAAGAAGGAAAATGGAAGAGGCTGCAGATATTACAGAGAAAAAAGAGAGAGGTCGAGTTGATGATCAAGAGAGTAGCTTAACTAAAGTTTATGATATTTCCAAGAATCCAATTTTCTACTTCCAAGAAGCCATTAGAGCTATTCTCAACTGTCTTGGTTTTGAATCTTCAAAACCAGAGTCTTCATCTTCTAGTATGTCAGATAAAAAAGAAGAAGAGAATAATAAAGAAGATAGTAGTGAACAAGAAGAAGAAGATGATCCTGAAGGGAAACAGGCTTCAACAGATAATAACAACGATAACCCTAATACTCCATCAGCTGATGATCCACCTCAATCCCAAACACTTGTAAGACTTCTCTTTCCTTTAATTAATTGCGCAATCTATATCTCTCACACACACCGGAAGATGTAGAGCGTAAGTTATGGCCTGGGTTTATTCGAACCGACTCGAACTTTGTATACGTGTTAAAATAATTCAATAAATAAGTACAAATAATTAATTTCAAACTCACTAAATTAAATGAGTTGAAAATATGAATTTGAAGTCATAAAATTCAAATTTTGGATCCACATCTTAACACACAGAGATATACATGTATGACACACACACATACAAGGGAGGATGTAGAGTATGATTGTTGGGTTCATCTGAACCCACTATTTTTGTCGCGGAATATAAATTTATGTGTAAAAATTCATCAAAATTATAACAAATGGTAGGTCTGAACCTATAATTTTAAAATTACAATGGGTTCAGTGCTAAAAACTTTAAAAGTTGAACCCACGTGATCTAAATCCTGGATTATATATATAACCCTACTCGTATTCCGACTATCAAGATAGGCTAATTAAATTACCAGACATCTAGATCATGAAAAATGTTACGTAGTAAAGATGAAAATTATAATGAGGAACTGAGCTTTGTTTCTGTTATTAAAAAAAAAAACGAAAGTAAACACTTATGGGATATCAGATATACTTCAATCGGTTATTAAATAATCTTAAGAGTGAAAAAGAATAGTGAATAGTTCTTGAGAGTACGTACCTAGGTCTTGAGCTGTATCTGAGTCTACGGTTATTCTTTGAATTTTAATATAAATCTTAAAATTATCGTTGTAGAGAATCGAGAAAGAATTAATAATTCTAATTTTGCTAATCTAATATGAGTACTAAATGTTCTTGAACAGAGACTAAAAATATATATTAATTTGAGAGATCAAAGAATAACAAGGTAATTTAATCAAATAAATATATAACGTTCTCTAATTATAATATTCTTAAAAGGTGTGCATAAGGCTAAAATGAGAAGTAAATTGGAGGGGTGTATCTCGTTTGTTTTATTAAGAAAAAAGCCCACAAATTAATTAAGTCATGTGACTTGTTTTATTTTGGCGTAAATTTCATGCAGATAGAAGCAGCAACAAGGAGGGGAAGAACGCCACCAAGACCTGGAGTTAGCAGAGGAAGTCCTCCTCAGAACAATTAATTTAAATTACATCTCCTCTTAAAATCTATGACCCATTTTCATACTTTGGCTAGGGTTTTATTGAAGTTTGTTATATATATGATCAACTTTCAAGACTAAGTTTTGCTGGTATTTTATCTTGGTTTGATTTCCGTATTTTATGTTGTCTTAGGTCCTTTATTTGTTTATCCATATTGTAAGATATAAGGATCTTAATATGTGCAAGTTAATAGTAGTACATAATCTACAAGTTATTTGTCGAATTTTCTTTGCCAATTCTGTAGTGCGCTTAACATTCATGTCTGTCTAACTTGATCACCACTGGACTGTTATTGTTCATATTGCATGACTTAATCATTATAATATCTACTGAATTTTCAATATTTTAAATATCGTTTGACTCATCAGTTATCATTAATGAAAAATGTCATTACAATTAATGAAAATATCATTGTTTCTGTTTCCTAGGAAAAGTAAATAAATAAATAGAACTTATATTCCATTCTTCCACCTCCAGTTACAAATATTATTTATTTGGGCAAACAAAATCTGCTTTAAAATATTTGATGTTATTGAAAAAATGAAAAATATTTATTATTTATGTAAAAAAAATTAAAAGATGTATAATATGGGCGGTAAATAGTAGTAATATCGTTTAGAAACATGAATTAATTTGTCCTTTGTTTGTCATTCATATGACTGGCAATAACTCCTTGGGTCCCTTCAAAAGATTCAAGATCTTCAAAAACATTATGATATGGACCATCGCCATTAATATTGGGCATATTTAAAATAGTGGTAATTGCTTGACTGTTGACTCTTCTCTCATTCAGGTCATTGTGGAACACAATAAATGCCTTATTACTCTTTCGAATATTAGTATAAATCCATGCCGGGCTTGAGATGGCAAAAGACTAGTAATAGAGGGGAAAGAGAAGAAACGTTGCTCACCTAATTACAGGACAATATTACCAAATTAACATCACCTCTTGTTTTCCTTGAAAATGTGTTGAATTCAGCTATCCATAGAGCCCTGCTATTAGACCCCTGACAAAGCTGATCGGCAAGCGGCACTGCAGTGGCGAGGATTTTGGCATGATGACCTTGCCATTGGCCTATGTGCGAGGGAAAATCAATATGCAAGACAATGCGGGGGTGTTATCAATGGCAACAAACTGTTGCTAAGGCAAGTGAGACGGACTACACTTGTATTTGAGGGCTAAGGTGTGACGGACTACACCAAAGCAAGAGTGGGCTGCGTACAAGCAAGGCCAAGACCTTGACGGAACTAGGCGGGCTGGATGGAGCTTGACAAGGCTAAACGGGAAAGACCTCGGCGCTAAAGTGAGGCAGCTTAGTGCCAAGGCATTGGCATTGGCAATGTGATGTTGCCATGACTTAGGTGAGCGGACTGGCACCTAAGTTAATTGTGGGCAAACGACTTGGCAAAGGGAAGGGCATCAAGGCTTGGTGACTTGATGTTAAAAATCAGCATGGGCAACGGGCAGACTTGATCAAGTAGGGGCGACTTGACAAGGACAAACAACTGTGGCAGCGGATTGGCGTGCGGCTAAGTCAAGGGTGACGAGCTGTGGCGATGGCATTGAGCGGAAGCAGTGTCAAAGGCTAAGGCTGGGCGCAAAGTCAGCCTTAGGCGTGCAGCAGCTGGCCAAGAAACACGCACATGCAGCGCACATGGAGTGGTTTTCAAGTGTGTTGTGCACATGTCATGCAGTTGGCGGTTACAACTGCCTTTGTCCAAGAGTTGTTGATTATAGGCTGAGTCTTTGCACGTTTTTGGGGCATGTGAGAGACATGTCCTACACGTTTTG